ATTCCTGAAGGGCTGACCACATAAAAGCAGGCAATATCGAACAGAACTATTTTAGATAATCCTCAATTAGTTACAATGGTTCAAAAATTCAGCTAGTACTTTTTTTTTTATTATTTGTAACCTGTCCACAGAAATGTGATGGCTTTTGAGGGACTATTTATCAAAGTCAACAAATGAGATAAGTGATTATGAACAACCACAAAATGCTTTGTAGACTGAGTCCTTAAAAAGAGATACAAGCTCAGGTCTGTCCTGACAGACCCTTGCATTTCAATATATTGGCTATTTTGGGACAAAGGTGTAAATACAAAAAATGAATAGTCGTATTTAATAATGGCACAATAGGAGAGAAAAGGTTTTGCAACCATCTAAAATATAACAGAGCTATAAAGGTGTTCGAGGCTCTTTTTGGTTTCCTTTACTTTTGTATTTCAAGTCAATGCACTACTTGTGAGGTTTTTTAAGAAGGCAGCCAGTATGGACAAAAGAGAAATATGGAAGCACTTTTGCAATGGCAGGTCAGTATTTTCCTCACCCTAGCTTGATGTTTTATCTTCTTTTTTTTTTTTATTTTTATAGTTCTATGTTAACTAAGACTCAGTTCTAATATTAAAAACCCCCAAACAACCCAAACTTTCCCAAACAGGAGGCATTAAACAATAACTATTTTATAACAGCAGAGGCCTTTTTTGACTCTTCATTTGGTGTTTATTGTAAAACATGGTAGAAACTTAAAATTTTAATACATGGAAAGAGTTTCTTTAAAATGTTCACAATTTTATACAAAATTAATGATAAAATACAAGAAAATATGCATTTAAAAAATTTATAAAGTAATACTCTGCAGTAAATTCTGTTCATTGGTCAACAGTCTTTCTTGCAAGACCTGTTTCAATCTTTAATGTAAACATTAGAGGCGAAAGCTTCACCTCAGTGAAATCAAAGAGACTTTTCACCACTGAATTCATGAGAAAGAAGAATTAACTCTCAATTTCCGAGCAGACATGGCCAGTAACGCATACATGAATATTCTCGTTTCAAATTCAGGACTGAAAGACATAAGAGCTCTGTAAACAGTAATCCTTGCTATTACATGACCAATAGGACGGATGAATGGGAAACACTCGACATTTCAAGCACATTTTCAACATTAAGAGAACGCGAAGGCAATGCCTCCCGCCAGGAACGCAGCCGCTACGTATCTGAACAATCACTCCAGTCTGTGACAGTGACTAAGCTGCTTTTTAACGTGCTTGTATTATCAGCTTCGGGAGGGCCTGTTAAAATAACAAACAAACAAACAAAAATTAACAATTATTATTACTACTTTGGGAGTATTTTTAATTTGTATTTATCTATGGAGTAAAATCACACGCTATGTGAGCAAACACTCACAGGCTTCAGGAAGTCCAGAATTTTAACGGGGGAGGAAATTACAAGTGTTTTTAATACGAAGGCTCTTTCTGTCACAGAATACAATGCACAGTACAAGCAGTCAGTGTCAACACTACTCGCCCTTTAAAAACAACCTGAAGTAGCTTTATATAAACTGACACAGCTTTAACCTTTATATGTATTTAGGGGTGTTGATAGATGAGAAGCTCAACATGAGCCGGCAGGGCACTCCTGCAGCCCAGAAGGCCAACCGTATCAAGAGGAGAGTGGCCAGCAGGTCAAGAGAGGTGATGCTCCTCCTTTACACTGCTCTTGTGAGACCCCACTTTGAATATTTCATCAAGTTCTAGTGTTCCCACTGTAAGAGGGACATAGATCTCTTGGAGCGTGTTCAGAGGAGGCCACAAGGATGATCCAGGGGCTGGAGCACCTCTGCTATGAGGACAGGCTGCGGGAGCTGGGATTGTTCAGTCTGGAAAAGAGAAGACTCCAGGGGGACCTAACAGCTGCCTTCCAATACCTGAAGGGAACCTACAGGAAGGCTGGGGAGGGACGTTTTACAAGAGTGTCCACTGATAGGACAAGGGGAAGTGGGTTTAAGTTGAAGGAGAATAGATTTAGATTGGATCTTAGGAAGAAATTCTTCAGTACGAGGGTGGCAAGACTTTGGAATAAATTGCCCAGAGATGTTGTGGCTGCCCCCTCCCTGGAGGTGTTCAAGGCCAAGTTGGACGGAGCCTTGAGTAGCCTGATCTAGTTGAGAGGCGTCCCTGCCCATGACAGGGAGGTTGGACTAGATGATCTCTAAGGTCCCTTCCAGCATAGGCCATTCTGTGATTGTATGATTCTGTGTATTGAAATGTTAGGGCTAGGAACTGCTACAGAAGTTCTAGGTAAGATTTACTTTAACACTGGTTCACACATTTATCTCAGCCTAGTAGGTCACTTAGGTATCTTCAAAAAACACCTTTTATTATTATTCTCAAAAAAAAGTAAGAGAAGTTTCCTTCCTCCCTTAGATTTGAGAAGGGATTAAAAGTCAACCCTGGATGATTACTTTTGAAGATGAGGTTGAAGCCTGATAGTACTCTACACTATAAAATCTCAAATTTTAAGGTTTTTGGGATCCCTGTATATTTACATGTGTATTGTTTACATATGAGTATGCATCACAAATACCATATATGACATTTATATGACATAAAAGCAAGCATGGAGTTTTTCTTACTTTTTCTTTTCATACAGAATACCATATACTGAATTACAATGTATAATACACTATACTTAAGTACTCCTCTAGGCGTGCCAGGCTATATAATAGATGGCTAACAATGTAGAAGACAGAATGTATTACCTTCCTCCTTTGGTACACTTGTCCTCGGAAGACCCCACGCATGCACCATGGATGCACCGTTTGACTCGTTTTTCTGAACCATCGCTGCCTTCTGACCTCTATCATTCTGCATCAGTAAATCTTCTAATGATGATATATCCCAATCATCTTCATCAGCTTCTGTGAACTAGTGAGAACAAAAAACACACATTTTCCCTCTGTCCAGTCAAATTGTGCTGGCACACGGCCTTTATGACATCCATCACCACAGTTTTAAAATCCATATAATTCAATTATCTAGATCATATTAATTCACTACTATAGTTTCAAAGTTACAAGGGTGGGATTTTAAGTCAGGAAGTGCAAAAGTTCAGCACAAGAAAGCCATGGACCTGTTGGAGCAGGTCCAGAGAAGGGCCATGAAGATGACAAGGGCACTGGAGCACCTCCTCTACGAGGACAGGCTGGGAGAATTGGGGTTGTTCAGCCTGGAGAAGAGAAGGCTCCAGGGAGACCTTACAGTGGCCTTCCCGTACCTGAAGGGGACCTAAAGGAAAGCTGGGGAAAATCTGTTTTAGCAGGGTCTGTTGCGATAGGACAAGAGGAAATAATTTTAAAATAACAGAAGGGAGATTTAGACTAGCTCTAAGGAAGATACTTTTTACCACAAGGGTGATTGAACACTGGACAGGTTGCCCAGAGAGGTGGTAGAAACATTCTGTGGAAACATTCAAGGTCAGGCTCGATGGGGATCTGAGCAACCTGATCCAGTTAAAGATGTCCCTGCCCATGGCAAGGGGTCGGACTGGGTGACCTCTAACAGTCCCTTCCATTCTAAGTTCTGCCAGTTCTGTAACAGGCAGAAACCTATATTTTCAGGTATTAAATTTCTACTGAAAAAAAGGAACATCTTTTCTGGAATACTAGCTATTCCAATGAGATTCAAAGTCCTTTAAGTATTAGAATGCATATTACCTACATGAAAATAAAGACATGACATGTTATCATGCAAGTTGGCAGTTTAGTTTGCTATATCAGCATTCTGCATTCACACTAGAAAAATTTAATATTGCAGTAAAGACCTCTTCAATTTAAAACTTATTTATTTAAAGAGAAAATTAAATAATGAAAGTTAAAAAACCCCATGGTGCTGAAAGTTAAAGTATGTTTTCCTCTCAAGATTCACTGTCTGCATGTAGAAGCATATTTTTAATTAAGAGGTAGATTTGCATAATGAGTTCACAAAATGAGAGTCAAGTCAAACATGAACCTGAAGGCAGTGAGTGCCGAGGTCTTTCTTACCTCATCCACCTGAGAACTAAATCTCTTCATTCAGCTTTTGAAAGAAGAGCTACAGCATTTCCCTATTTGTCAGTCAGATGCAGTTCAATGGAATCAAGGCATTATGAGAGAGATTAGTGGTGGGAAGCTAAAGACAGTTTCTCACAAAGCTAAAGCCTTTCACCAGAGTCTTCCAGTATTGCAGGCAAATACATAAGCTGCTGCTGCTGCACAGAAGAAAGATTCAGACGCTCTAGCAGGAAACAACGTGAGCTATGTACATACTAGAGAAAAGAAATATGAACGTGTCGTGTGTCTCGAAAGAAGCGAAGAGACGGCAATACTGCTCGATCTTGCACCATAATTCAATTTTAACATTGCAAACGGTTTTTCAAAACCTGACAGATCTGCTCAGTGTGCTGTATTATTAACATACCAGGATTCAACATCTTGCTCGTTTAAATTATCTGTATTTGGAGGGCGTGGTGATGGGAAAGTCGGAGTCACATCTGTTGAGAAATGCTGGAGGAAGAGTTTCCTCAAACATTCACTAAGCCCCAAGTGATTTTTAAAGTAGGAAATACAGATAAAAATGTCAACTGCAAACAGAATTCAGTTCTGACTGAGCGTAAATACACAGCACCAATCAAAACTGCTAAGTGGTTTTATCAACTCCAAGACTTACTCCAAAGCAACACCACAATCCGTACAACGCCTGGTACAGTCGAACTCAGGTGTCGCAGCTTCAGGTAAGCACAAAGTTAATTTTCTCAAAAATGTTTCTGAAGTAAATTCTGTGAAACATGACCTTTATAAAACATATGACAATGGTTTGCCTTATAAAAGTTTTATGGTACTGTGGGTTTTGAGAATGAGCACTAGCAGCTGTAAGTATTTAAGCTAATCAAAAAACTGGGCTTTTCCATAAAACAATCATTCCAATGGCTTTTTGTGCTTATGTCTTTGGGCATGTTTGAAAATCCCACATAGTATTTCAACTACACATCTACATTTAAACGTACAAATATGGACAGGAATATTTGCATGAATATATGTATATATTCATATATAAATAGCAAAGAATACAAGATGATGTATTGTTCCATAAAAATTCCAGAAACAAAGCAGCAATGCCTGCCCTGCCTTTGGAAACTCACTTCCAACTCATCATGTCCATACAGGAACAGGTCACTGTGTCAATACATTTTTTCATGGAATCACAGAATTGTCAGAGTTAGAAGGGACCTTGAAGATCATCTAGTTCCAACCCCCCTGCCATGGGCAGGGACATCTCCCACTAGATTAGGTTGCTCCAGGTCCCACCCAGTCTGGCCTTGAACACTTCCAGGGAGGAGACATCCACAACTTCTCTGGGCAACCTGTTCCAGTGTTTTACCACCCTCAGCATAAAAATTTCCTCTTTATATGCAGTCTAAACCTACCCTCTTTCCATTTAAAACCACTGAGCCTTGTCCTGTCACTACAGGACTTTATAAAAATGTCTTTCTCCAGCTTTCTTATAAGCACTCCATATTTTGAAAGGCCACAATAAGGTCTCCCCAGAACCTTCTCTTCTCCAGGCTGAACAACTCCAACTCTCTCAGCCTGTCCTCATAGAAGAGGTGCTCCAATCTCCTGATCATTTTTGTGGCCTCCTCTGGACCCGGTCCATCAGGTCCATGCCCTTCTTGCGTTGAGGGCTCCGGAGCCAGTCTCACAAGAGCAGAGCAGAGGGGGAGAATCACCTTCCTTGACCTGCTGGCCATGCTGCTTTTGATGCAGCCCAGGCTATAGTTGGCTTTTTGGGCTCTGAGTGCACATTGCTGTTTCATGTCCAATTTTTCATCCACCAGTACCACTGAGTACTCTCTTCAGGGCTGTCCTCGATCCACTCATTGCCCAGCCTATGTTTGTGTTTGGGGTTGCCTCAACCCAGGTGCAGAACCTTGCATTCGGCCTTGTTGAACTTCATGAGGTTTGCACAGGCTCACTCCTCAAGCCTGTCAAGGCATCCCGTCCCTCGAGTGCATCAACTGCACCACCCAGCCTGGTGTCATCTGCAGACCTGCTGAGGGTGCACTCAACCCCACTGTGTCATTAATAAAGGTACTGAACAGCACTGGTCCCAATACAGACCCTTGAGAGACACTACTCATTACTGGTTTCTACTTGGGAATTGAGCCACCGAGTCTAACTCCTTGGACACAGCCACCCAGGCAATTCCTCAGCCATCTAACAGTCCTTCCACCAAACCCCCAATTTAGAGGAATGAATGTTGTGGGGGAACGTATCAAAGGCCTTGTACAGTCTAGGCAGCTGACATCTGTAGCTCTTCCCTTGTCTGCGGGTGCAGTCACTCATCGTAGAAGGCCAAAAGATTAGTCAGGCACAATTTACCCTTGTGTGTCTCTAATCACATCCATGTGTCGTCTTCCATATGTTTTAACTCAGCTTCCAGGAAGATCTGTTCCAGGATCTTACCAGGCACAGAGATGAGACTGACTGGCCAGTAGCTCTCAGGGTCCTCCTTTTTACTCTTTTTAAAAATGGGTTTGATGTTTCCCTTTTTTTTTCAGTCAGGGACTTTGCCTGACTGCCATGATTTTTCAAATATGCTGGAGAGTGGCTTGGCAACTACATCAGCCCAATTCCTTAGGACTCAGGCAGAATCTTGTCAGGTCCCATGGAACTGTGTATGGCTAGGTTCCTCTAGGGATCTAGAAACCTCATCTTCTCCCACCATGTCCCCTAGTCCCTGCCTTGGGGTTCAGGGGCTTGAGAGATGTAGGACGACAGAGCACTGGCACAGGCTGCCCAGCGAGGTTGTGGAGTCTCCTTCTCTGGAGACATTCTAAACCCTCCTGGACACGTTCCTGTGTGACCTCCTGTAGGTGATCCTGCTCTGCCAGGGGGGCTGGACTAGATGATCTTTTGAGGTCCCTTCCAACCCCCAACATTCTGTGATTCTGTGTGATTCTGTGAAGAGAAGTTACCAGTGAAAACTTTGGTATCTTTAAAACATAGATTTTAAGGCTTACTTTGCTACAGCTCTTTGCTCTTGAAGCCCAAATTCCATTAATACAGTAGCCCACAGTCTACAGACGTTTAGAAAACGTTAACGTCTCCTAAATTTAACTGTGAACATTTTATGGTCTTTTATCATCTGACACTGTACTGAATTTGAAAGCAACATTTGGCCAGGAAATACACAGTAATAGTAATTTCTGAGCAGAAAATTTTGAGTCTGGTGTGATTTGCAGCTTCCACACAGCCAATGGGCAAATCAGGTGTCACAGCGACAATTAAAAGCACACAAACTAAATGGGATTACCCTACCATTACAGCTCAAGCTGATTAAGACAATCACCCTGTTCTGGAAACTGAAATACAAGTGTCACTGTTTCTGGGAGGAGTCATAAATTTCAGATTTATCTAGCAGTCAGGAAGCCCTAAAGTATCAGTTTCACTATGGATAATAAAATTATCAGCAATTATTATTTATTTATTGAAAAAATATTTTCTTGAATGCTAGAACTAGTATCTGGCTGTTTGCTTCAATCTAATAACAACTACTAAAATGGAAATGAAAAGCACTGTCCGCTGTTGACTTTTGATTTGAAATAAATTTTGTTCCTTTTAAAAATTCTCCAGACAAAGATCAATTTGGATCAAAGCAGCTTACCAATTCTAAAACTCTAAACTGAGGGGAAGGCTGGGACTTTAGGAGCCTGACAGGTAAAGAATAAGTTGTGTTAGTATTCTGATCATGAACACATGCCATATTCAATGGATAGATGTCAGTCATAGATTTGATGGAGTCTGCAAACAGTGTATGGTTGTAAATACATGCTGCAAAACCAAAACCATACTCAAAAATTGAACCTGTCCCCTCGTTAAATTACATTTTAAAAGCTCCATATCAGATAAATCTTTAGAAATAAACATATTTTAAAATTCTATATAAGCAAAATAATTTTTTCCTCCATCAAACCAAGATCCTAGGAAAGCAAGTAAAGAAGAGCTCTCTCTTATGTCTCAATGCTGCTAGAACAGGAGACAAAAATGATACCACCTGTGCCCAAACTTTAGTCTAGCTGTAGTGATCCCAACCAGCCATGGGATAAGGAAATAAGCAATATGGATGAAGAAGTCACTTGCCACAGCTCACTTGCTCACACTTTTCTATACACCAGTGCAGACATACCCAAAACATCTACTTAGCTGTAACTCCAAAACTTTGAGGATTAAGTTCTTCACTGTGTCAAGAGGGTTTCAGCATCAAAAAAACCCCAAAACAATCCAGTAATATAATGAAATAATAATGACTATTAATGAAGTGATACCTTCAGTTCTTTCACTTCTTCTTTCTTAACAAACGCCTGTGCAACATTAATCCCTCCAGCCGGTTTGTTCTTACTTCCATGGTTAGAAAGACTTTTTCCAACTTTTTCAGTCAGTCTTTGAATAACTGTTCCTAAAGTTCATAAAAAATTATTGGCAGTTTCCATTCAAAAGTAAGGAGCTTTTCTGTAAACCCTCTAGAAATCTTACATAAAGCAAAAGAAAGTAAAAGAAATCTCTCTGAGGCAGAGAGTATCTTTCTCTGCATTAATATAAGCCAGCATGATACACATCTAATTTGAACTGACATGTCTAAGTATGGTATTAATATAAACACATTAGCAGAAACATAAAGCGCACACAAATATCCATACACTCAAGACAAGTCATTATGTTTTCTAACACAGAAATATTATCAGGAAATGCAAAACCATGCACAGCTGTTACAACACGCATATACAAAAGTAGTGAAAAAACCTTTTGAAGTTTTGGCAGGTGTTCCAGCTTCTTCAGCTTCACCTTCCTCCATCTCATCCAGATCGCTTTTATCAGAAGCCTTCTGAAAAGCACTGACTTTGCTGCTCGATGTTTTTGACTGCTTTTGCAATAGCTGTGGCGGTGGGTCAGGCTGTAGGCTATCATCCTCGTCTACTTCGTCCTCTGAACTGAACGGCAGAGTTCTAAGCAAAAACAGAGACAGCCTGACGACTTACTGTCTTCCAGTGCATTGCAATATATCTCAGCTTCCCTCTATTTTCCTTTCTAATAACGTGCATTTTTCTTACACGAAAAAAAGAGGAGCTGACTAGCCAGAAAGCTATTTAAAAGATGTCACACTGCTAAGTAAACTCAGAAAGTTATCACAAAATTCTCTCTTATATAGATGTGACTACTTCCAACTACTTCTTGCAACTCTCTTCACAAAACAAACCAATATATAACAAATCTTGCTAGGCAAAAAAAGATAGGCTTTCATGGATCAGCAGGGGGAGGAAAGTTCACAGTCAAGGAACCCACACCAGAGAAAGTCTGTTCTGACATTCCGTTAGATGACAATAATTGGGGAATTTTTCAAGTGCAGGAACTACAAAGTAATGTAGCTGATGTGAGTGGAGTCTGGAATATTGTGTTTAATTTTAGTAAGAAAATATCTATAAACTGAAAAAAATAGGTCACCAAAGTCTTTAAATGCTTTCAAATGGGTCCGAAAAGCATCTAAGAATGAAACTAGAGGAAGCAATACTATCCAAGTTCACAGAGTATCCCTCTCTAGTTCATAACAAAGAACACATCTACTGAATGGAGAACATGCTCTCTTTCAGGAATTATGGTAACACACTTGAATGGAATAATACTTTAAAACAAAATGTGAAGTATGTGGTCCAGAAAGCGTTCATAATTTTAGCTTAATAATAGCTTTTTTTGTGGCAGGCATGTGAATATTCAGTTGCCAAAACCATTTTCTTCAAAAATACAAGGGAACAAAACATACGTGATGCTAGGTGTCCTTCTGGAAACTCCATTTCCAAAAAAAATCACGGATCTAAAAACCAAGAAGACAAGTTATTTGAGCACCGACTGTCAACTAAATAACCATAAAGTTTATGTAGAATCATAGAATTATAGAATAGTTTCAGCTGGAAGAGACCAAGATCATCAAGTCCCGCCTTTGTCCCAGCCCTATCAACCTACTAAATGATTCCCCCCAATGCAACAACCAGTTGTTTCTTAAACACCTCCAGGGACGGTGACTCAATCCCCTCCCGGGGCAGCCTGTTCCAATGGCTGACAACCCTTTCAGTATAGAAATTCTTCCTAATATCCAACCTGAACCTCCTCTGGTGCAATTTAAATCCATTTTCCCATATCCTATCACTCTCCACTAGGGAGAATGGACGAACCGCTGCCTCTCTACAACCTCCCTTCAGGTAGTTCCAGAGAGCGATGAGGTCTCCCTCAGGGGAATTCTTTAGCTCAGTTCTTACAGTATTAGCAGGAACGTTCAGATCAGTCACCAGACCCCAAACACACAGGGCTGCTACCCAAGACGTGAGTGCTATGAGAGCAGCAGCTCTTACTTTGGTGTGGAGGTGTTCTGGCTGACGGCTGTTCTCTGCTCAGCTGGGCGGACGGCTGTTGAGGACCGTTTTACAGGTTTTTGTGGTGTGGCAGATGAGGAGATTCCCAACTGCCTGAATTTCTGTTTCTCTACAAGAGAAATTACCTATTTCATTATGAAAAACAATGTTTGGTATATTTTATATTTGATTTCTACAACTACAGATGTCTCTGCTGCAGATTACAGCTTTACAGAAAAGAAGGGAAAAAAGTAATTTTTTTCTTCAAAGCAGTTCACAGTTGCAAGAACACTTTAAAGAAAATCATTTAGTCGGCCATAACTATATATAATATTTATATGGAAAATGATGAAAGCAGCTATACAGAAATGTTGCTAAACAAAACCTTAAATAGCAGTTATAAAATATAAGAGAATGAAAAAAACCCTCAAAATTTTTTAACCTTCTGAAGGAAGTTGAGGAGAGGAAACAGGTCTATTACAAGATGACAACTTCTCATTGACCCTAATGCTAACTTGGCGTTCAAGATGCTCTCGAATTCGTTGAATGTCAGGTTCTTGTTTCTGTTTCCATTTTCTAGCAGATTTGATGGCATTCGAAATGTCCTCAAAGCGATTGTTTGGGATACCACAAACACTCTAAGGAAACAAATTGTAAACACAGGTACAATCTTAAGCTTCAGATATCACAAAGCTTGTAGAAAAATCACAGAAGTTGGTAACACTGTTCACAGGTGTAGCCACATCCTCCACAGCTCTAATATGGACATCCTCTCAGGTTAATGAATTACATTGACATATAACGTGTGGGAATTTAGCTTTGGATTTTCTAGGTTGAGGGTTGCGGTACAAGAGTGAAAGAGAGTAGCAAAAAAGTGGGACAAAGATTACCCCTCTTTCAAATAACTCGGAATAATCTTACTGCTTTGATTCCAAAGTCTTTCAGCTTCTCCTCCAGGGTTTGCTCCAAATCAACCCGTAATTCTTTAGTTAAAGAAGGAACAGTCTTCAAAGCATCTTTCAAATAGTGGTTACTTCTACCTGCTTTATTATCACTCTTCTCAGTTTCTGAAACAAGAATGGAAAAATGCATTTAAGAGGTTTGAAAAATCCACAGTATATGAGACAATTAAAAACTGCACTGAAGCATGCATTTTTTAGAAGCACCATGGACATACGTGTGCACTATTTGTCTACACGGAGCTGGATTCTTTTTAAAATCTTGGGCTAGCTTACAGAAGCCAGTTTACTTGTAATCTATAACCCGGAACCTCATACTCACCATCACAAGTTTCTTTTATCTTATTCTTGTTACAGAATTGCTGTAAAGATATATGCCTGAGTATTTAGCAACAAAGATCTTTTCTTTTTGAACTGTGCTTGGAAACTTCTCATAAAGAAAGACCATTTTCTGATAATTAAGTTCTCTTGAAGTGGTATTTCAAGTCAAAGCTGAATTCTAGCAGGAATTAGAACAGGAATAGGACAAACCTGCTCTCTGGAAAAGCTTCAAACAACGTAAAGTTCTCTGACAAAAATCATCTACTGGAATTAAATCTTTAGAAAGTTGTAACACTTTCACAAGTCTCAGTAAAGACAAAACCTTAGCGTGAGGCAGGCTGCTTCACAGAAAACACCTGACGGATAATACTTATCTTCAAAACTCTTTCAAGGACAAAGTTCAGTGTCGTGTTTTCTACTGTGCAGGCCTATGACATCATACATACTTAAAGCAGACAAAGAAGTTTCTATCTCTAAGCTTTAAGGGTCAGTAATGACATGAACTCTTATGCAAGAAATAAAGAATCATCTAGACAGATTCTTCCACCTAAATTCAAGACTGATACTTGAGTTAGGCCAAAGGATTATAGGGTCACACAGAGGAGTAAAGAAGCAAAACATACCTGTTTGGAATCTGCCTACGAGGTGTCTCCGGCAAGAAAAAAATTTACTGAATGTCACCTATACCAAGAGAACCAACAATCTGTGGGACCACGGCAGCTGCTTCCTTCTGGCCAGCAGAGCTGGCAAAGCTGACACAGAGGGGTAAGCAACAGCGCAGGAAAGCATGCCGTAAACCACGCACCCAACTTTGCCTCTGAATCATAGAATGTTTTGGGCTGGAAGGGACCTTTAAAGGTAAATCTTGGGTAGGAGTTTGCTTCTTTCCAGTAGGCATTACAAGGCAGCAGAGTCATTTGCCAGCCTCCAAGCAATGACAAAAAAGAAGGAGCCATTCCATACTGTGACTTTTAAATGTTTTCTTTCAAAACAAATGTGCTGCTTTTACTATTTTTAAACGATTGCTTAAAAAGCAGTTCCATTTACCTTTTGTTTTTTTCTTTAAGGGAAAGGAAAGAGAAACACTCTGAGGAGGACCCGAAAAAGCCTGCTGTTTTCAAGAAGTGGCTTCCAACAGATCCTGGAAAGAACTACAGGTAAAGAAGATTGAAGGATGATCCAGCTACCGCACTAACAGATCTGTGCTGAAGAAGACAGAATCCAGCTGAAACCTTATCTGGCTTCAGGAACTGCGTGGACAACTCAATCCCTGACAGGTGGGTTTCAATATGATCTGGCTGGAGACCTGAGTCACAGAAGAGGCAAATTACTGTCGGCGAGGAAACCTAGGGCTATCGGACTACGCCCAGTCAGAAGAAGGCACAGTATACAGTACGAAACCCTCTTGGGAAGCCAGACATGAGACATTTTGAAGCAGAAGGCTCCAAGGAGCCTTCTGGAAATCCTGTCCCTTTCAGATGTTAATCCCTACAACAAAATAGATCCACCTAAAATAGTTTTAAAACGCATAATTACTATATACTAATATGGGTAACAAGACTATCCAGCATTATCCTTAATTAATGACAATATTAATTCTTGCTAATTAACTCAAGCCAAATCCTCTTTGCCAGAGCCAACTATTGAAGGAACTGTTTTCTTATTCATTTTTGTTTCTCAAAACCCACCTAAATAATAGATTTAACAACTCTGGAAGCAAGGGACCTTAAGTCTGGTCCACTGTCTCAGCTCCTACATAATCCTAAGAAACAATGTGCCAAGTCAAGAATTTTCATGCTCTCCCTTACAGATGGCTGTCACCGAAAACAAAAAAAATCTTGGTCTATCTTTTCAGACTGCATTCTTTCTTTCTCTCTTTTGTACTGCAGGCTATGCCTTTAGGCCCAGCAGAAGAATCAAAGACGATCCATCAAGAGAGAAGATGACAAGCAAGAGAAATAGCAGAAAGAACGGCAAAAATGCGAGCAGTCTATGTTTCAGATTGTTCAGAGTCACCGGAATTCCCCTCAGGAAATGTCCCACTTACGCACAGATGTATTCAAGTGACCATTTTGTTTTGAAAACAGCATCATTCCCTCAAAGTTTAAACTCCTCAGCTATAAGGTTCAAGACTGATTTTGAGTTTTGCACACAGTACAGGTTATTATGCTCTTCAGTTATTTAGTGTCTCATCTAAGGTGCTGTTAGCCTTGCTCAGGAGAAGAATGCCATGCGGGACAAACTGATGCCTTCTGGTCTGCCACTGTAAACGTGGCGTTCTCTGAGCTTTCCTCAGATGAAGCAGAACAGCTGCCAACCCTGGGCAACATAATTTCACTGAGAATTGAGCAACCCTGGCGGGAGCTGTAGCTACTCAGAGGTAAGCATAACTGAGATTACTTGAAAAAGTATCTTGGGCGCATTTCTGGAAACCGGCAGCTTCAACCTCCATCACCAGCTTCCTTCCTTCTATCTGAATTCTTTAACTTCTTACGCAGTCAGCACCAAAAATTTCCCAGTGTGGCGGTATTGCCCCATCAAACATTTTTGCTCTGCTTAACTCAAGAGCCTTTAGACATGTGGAATATGCCTGATCTCAAGAGTTCACCACATTTTCATCAAAACATTGCACTTGGATAAGGAAATTGTAGCATTTACAAGCACCAGTAGCAAACTGGAGACTGACACAAACAAGGAATGTTCCCACCCACATCACATAAGCATACTGAAATACAACGAAAAATATCGTAGGTATCAAATAATATTTACTTTTTACTTTCAAGAAACGCATGCCACCATATTTTGAGCTGAATCAACCATTACCTTTTTCCTCTTCTGAAAGCTCCTCTATGGGCTCCAGCATATGCACCAGAGGTGCCTGCTCTAATACCGAGGAAGACCAGGAACACCGGACAAACAGGACAGAAGAAGGTCAAGGTCCAGAGTGGGAAAGTTGGCAAAAAAAACACACTGATGTCAACCCTCCTGCTTGCTGACAACCGGCTTAACAATCCAAACCCAACGCAACACGCCTCCTCGCCACCTCGGCGGGACACTTTTGTAGAGGATACCCTAATAACAGAAATCGCTTCAGGAGCAATTCAGTTGCCTAAACATAAGTGCCTAGTGTCATCTCAGATATATCAGCATTTTAAGCCGTCAGCACAGGGCTGTCTGGTATGTCACACCACGACGGAAAACCTGTGCCATTCTGGAACGGCACCCAGAGGTCAGCTGGGATGTTTTTAGGCATCTACAATGACAAGACCACCTAGGATGAAGTAAATGAATACCCTCATTCATTTCTTATAAGAAGCACTGTGATTTTTAAATTTATTTTGTAATATCGTTTATATGCAATTTGACACTGAAAGTTTACAAAAGGCAAGTGAAACGTGCAGACATAGAAATCCTCACAAATATATGGGAAAAAATACGTTAACTTATTATTCCAGAGAAATATTAAGTACTGAATCCATTGCAAGGCACGGAGAAATTGGATATATAAATAAGATCATTTCCACTAAAACTTATTTTAAAAAATCTCCAGTCACTCCTTATAGTAAGATTCAGTATTGCCATGTGCTTTAAAGAAATCTCACAATGTCCTCTGCTGGAAATCCAGAGAAGTATTAAGTACTGAATCCATATGTGCAAGGCACGGAGAAATTGGATATATAAATAAGATCATTTCCACTAAAACTTATTTTAAAAAATCTCCAGTCACTCCTTATAGTGAGATTCAGTATTGCCATGTGCTTTAAAGAAATCTCACAATGTCCTCTGCTGGAAACAGATTCCTAAACACATTGAAATAATCATCCAATAGACTGTCAAGTACAATTTCCTTTATAGAAATGAAGTCAGAGTACAGTTTATTTAGAACTTTACAGACTTCAGATATAAGAGATGCATGAAAATGCTTATATGCAGACTCATAAACATACAGAGGTTTAAAATGTTAATATTCACATTCCATAAATTATTTAAATGAAAACTAGAACTTGAGTTTCTCCCACGGTTTACGATAAAATCAGAGATGCATAAACTATACTTTCACCATTCAACTACTGGCAGTATAGGAGAAAATAATTTATCGGCCAATATTTTGGGTCAGCATACAATTGCAAGAAACTTCTGGTGCTACGAATCAATGTTCTGTGGCACAGGTGGGAGGGGAGGGAGTGACACTACAGGAAATCTACCCGCTCTCCACCACTTCTCATACAAGCAGGTAAGAACTCAGATACGCTGTGACGGGCAATCCCAATAAAATGAGCACCTGCAGCTAAGTGGCACCGTCACATCTCCAGGGGACTAAAACTGGTGGTGTCAATGCTTGGCTATGGCAGCTGCTCTCTCCAGGTTTTCCATACTTGAGGTTTTCCAAGCAGGTTACCAGACTTAATGATTGCTCCCATGCAACTTGGCGCCGAGTAAGTTCTAATAAAATGCTTCTCACAACATCACATGACGCTAACGAGATGCAAATGTCAACATGGAAACAAAAGCAAAACTCTGAAAGTAAAATAGGTTTCTGGTCTTTCAGTCTCTAAGGCTGTAAAATTCAATAGTGGCCAGAGCATTTCTGGGCACTGAACATGATCCTCCACACAACTGTTCCTGGCATGCTGCACCAATCCACCCCACACCAACTAACATTCTCCAAAACAATGTTCAGGTACTGTTTGGGATCATTCCCAAAAGCCTGCAGCGAGCCTGTTTTGGAGGACAGAGCCTGATGCACAGATGAAATGTTGTGGGGTGATCTAATTTTATTGACCTAACATAGACTAAATATTGAGCAAGTATCGATATTTCAAGAATAATATAGCAGCCAAAGCCTGATTTTAATATTTAAAAGAAAAAACCCAACAACAAAACATAATCAATCTATTGCCCTTTTGCAAGACTGAAGCAATTTTTAAAAATAAAATTTAAGTTATACCTGCACAAAATTGTACAGCTAACTCAGAAATGGAGAGAACAATGGTCAGTCTGGATGGTTCTCAAAGCACACTTAGCTCTCGCAAGAAACCAGAACGTTAGCTCAAAAGCACCAGGCTAACTCAGATATTCCACTACTTTACACTTAGGATACCTCATTTGTAGCTTGAGTATCTTTTCATGACACAGATTTAAAATACGCAGAATGAATATTAGGATGCCAAAGCTTCCAGACAACTTTGAAACATGTACTGAAGTTCACATTAGAGAGAATTTTCCAGAATTAATTTTCTTTCAAACAGAAAAAAACCCCACAAGATACTTCAATGCAGCCAACTGTTTGGTAGAAAAACTACAGCCCCTGTGATTTCAGAGATGCTTATTAATTTTGTGTACAGAAGTTACCAAAAAGGGCTTTCATTTTCATAATAGCACAAGATGCAGCCATGGTGTCTTAATTCAGTACTTAAGAAGAGCCCTGACATCACTGGGAAAGACACTATCACTTCTGACAGACTTTATGTCCAGAAATTAGGTAGGGTAAGTTTAAAAAAAAAAAAATCCAGAAGGGAAGAAAGGGGACAGACAGAGAGACCTGCAGAGATAAATAAAATCATCATCAGCAAAGGAATGTGAAGGAACCACCTTCTTTGAGGTTTCATAATAAACTGACAGTGACTCTTTTCTCTATCAATAGCAGGAACAGCCTTTTCTATCCTGAGAAGTTTCACGAGGTGTCACAAACTCCCTATACGGAGCAGCAAGAAATTAGGGAAGATTTGAACGAGCTGATTTAAATTGTCAGAGGACAAAATACCCACATGCACAGAACTATTTCCCTCCTTAGCACAAATGAAAGTAAAGGCACTAAGAAAGCAACGTTTGACAAGCTCAGGGTGTAGAGCCTCAGCAGCAATATTCTTCGTAACACTCGTTTCTTAAATTCAGGGTAATAGCTGAGCTACCTGCTGCGAGACCTCTTAGCCAGAACCAGCACTAACTACTGTGTCAGTGCAATGAAGGTGGCTTGAACAAAGAAGAACTAGACTATTTAAAATACTATTACTAATAATATGTACTTAATATATTATTACTTTTCTCCACACATATCATCTATGTAGTTTCACTTAAAAAGCTCTAGGCAATGAAGTGCTAACCTTGTGTAGGTTAGAAAGAAATCTCTGTATTATTCAAATAAGATATAATAAATAAAACCTATTTCCCTTTGTTTACTAATTCTTCCCCCAATAAATATTCTGAAATCAACATTTCATATTGATCAGATTTTCATTCCTCATATCAAAATCTTGTTGTATAGTACCTCTTCCTCATATGCCTCTTCAGAATTCTCTGAATTTGTTGAAAAAGAAAGATTCTGTTCCTTTTTTAAGAAAAAATGCATTTCACCTCCCTTTGACATATATTCATAACAAAAAATGTAATTCATATATTTATAACAAAAATATGATTCAATAATTCAAAATAATGAACTTTTTAAAGCCTTTAAACGTTTTACATGCTCAAATTCATTTGTCATTCCTTTCCGATTTGAAGTGAAAATAAAGAATTAATTGCAGAATATTGGTATGGTAACAATACTCTTCGTTACTTTGCATATCAAGAAAAAGAAAAATACTTTCACAGAGTACGAAACAATGCAAATGGAGGTTCATTCCCTCTCCCCACTTCTAAACATCACAATGCCACAGGTTAAAAAAATGATTTATATATAACTACAGATATATTCTGGAAAAACTATCAGATGGGATGACTGTTCATTTTGATTATTTCTTCTGTATTTTTCCTCCTTGTCATTAGAAGCCACATGAAAAATACAGTATTTCAAGATTTGCAAGCAAGTATCTCCATGTGTCTCTATACAAATTCCAGTACATGCATACACCTATCCAGGATATGCATATACCAGATAAAAATATTTTCTATATAATTTTATTTCCTCAATTAGATTGATTTACCTTAAAGTGATTCAATATCATACACACACTAGGACATTTCTCAAATTATTTTGTTCTGCTTCTCACTTATTCTTTTCAATAGTGCATCTTTACAGTTACCTGATAGGAATTCTCAGTGCGGGCATATGCAAAGCAAATAAAATTATGTTCTTTCAGTCTAACTAATCTTACAGCTATGAGCTGACAAGCAACACATTTGAGAAGACAGAGTGTTAGATTTCAAATTACCGCATCTGGCAGTAAAAAAACTTACGATGCGTCACTGGTGGACTTGGTTTAGATTCTTCAAGATGCTCTACAGTAGTGTTCACTACAATAGTATGAAAGTAAAAAATAATGTAAATTAATTACAGTAAACAATAGCAGACATATACTTAAATGTAGCAATATTTAATTATATTTACAGATTAGACAATTTTTTGCTTTAATAGGGATAAAATTAAACAAATCCGATCCTTGCAACATGAAAGTATGTCTCTATATATGCTTAAACGTTTTTAATGCTTCTTGAATCAGGGGGAAAAAAAAAAAAAGGCAACTAAATCATCATGGAACCAGAATGTGATCGTCTCTTCTGTCACACCTGTGCACTGTCTTTGTATCGCAGGGAAGAAGCCTTAGCCTCAAAGCTAGGACTAGAGGGAATGGATTGAAGCTGGAGATGGATCGGTTCAGATCGCACGTTAGGAAGAAGTTCTTCCCCATGAGGGTGCTGAGACACTGGCACTGCCCGAAGGGGTGGTGGAAGCCCCATCCCTGGAAGTTTTAAGGCCAGGCTGGATGGGGCTCTGGGCAGCCTGATCTAGTGGGGGATGTCCCTGCCCATGGTGGGGGGGTTGGAATTAGGGGATCTTTAAGGTCCCTTCCAATCCTCGCAATTCTATGATTCTATATTTTGTCTAGTGTGATTGAGGCTTGCATTCCCCAAAAGAGGATCTGCTGCATCCACACTTCATATCGATTAGCATAAACTCTACCTATATCATGTACAGAGTGTGGCCTTGGAGTGAATTAGCACCTCAATTCCATGTTCCTCACATCAGTCCAGGCCAAATTCAGTTGCGTGCTGTGGTCTTACACTTTTCTCTGCTTCAGTGTGGCTCCAGCTGAAAAACCCCACAGCCTAACTATTGCTACGCTCCCCTCAAACTAATCTATTCCCTACTGTCAGATCAATTCAAGCCAATGTCTTGCTAATAGAGCAAGATTATTCCCCCTTTCCAAGTGTCCAAACTGGGATTAGGACGGCTGTGGTTTAAGCCGGCCGCTCACTTGCTCACTCCCCCCACAGCGGGATGGGGAAGAGAACTGAAAGGGAGAAAAAGGTAAAACCTTGTGGGTTTTTAGAACACCGCAGAGAAGCAGCAATTGTAATAACAAAAATCAACCCCACCCTAGCCAAACTCAGAACATGAATTACATTGGTTGTCACCATCTATTGCTTATTTCAAGTCACTGCAACCGCAGCATCGACGACATGGGTGTTTGTGGTGCAGGATCACATCCTAAGACACTATCAGCAGGTTTTGCTATTTGTAACAGACTTTGGATGCTAAAGCATTGCACAGACAAAAATATCAGGGTTCTTAAAATTCTTTGAGCATCTATATCTTGACTGACAAATGAATCAATCTTGTCTATTCTTTCAGTATTTCCCTTTTTGCCAAAAGGTTTTTACATAATACAAAACAGAGTTGCTATATTTCACATCTCTTCACTACTCACGTAGTGAACGTTGTACATTAGAAATCCTTACAGCTGCAAAACCATGAACTTTGTAAATTGTGGCATGGAAACAGGTGAGCACCACGTGAAAGACAAATAAATTGCCAGTACCGATCTGGCTTCAATATTTAGACAGTCGATGTCTAAATTTTTTAACGAATTGTAACATTTGTTTCAGCCAAGCTGCTGAAATCAGAACCAAAATCTGCTTTTTCTTAAGAATTTGTACTTACCTTCATATGGTTTAACATTTGCAACTGATCTGGTGGCCAACTCTTTTAACTGAATGAGAAAAGATAGATATATGAATAGTTGCAAGTGTAAATGATCAGTACATAGAAAGGAACACTGAGTACAAAATACCAAGTTTCAGTATTATTCCACAGCAGAAAATATTGTTTATGATTCAGGGAGAAGAATAATACTTTTGTGAAACTTTGTTCTACTGCCCAACATGTATTTCACTCATGCTTAATGACTGCTGAGGACTTACTTCTGTTTGCTGTGTGATGTAGACTCACACTTTGTACACCCTATTATTATAAGCTATAATAAAATCAAATGAGAGTGGGCTTAGGGGCCACTCCAGCACTTACAGTTTCAATACTTTCTGCTTCAGCAATTCATGTTCAATTTGCAAGTTTAGCTCCGCTCCAGGAAAACACTTAATTACACGTTGATTTTAAACGTAAGAACAGTTCTCCTGTCTGCTCTACAGTTTTGTCTGTTTGACGCCCAAGACATACATTGAACAAAGCTGAGAGTGTAGAGGGAATAACCTGTTTGTAATTCAGTCTCAAGGAAACAAGAAACTTGTGAATCCTATCTCATTCATTCAAATAACGCTCCAGTTCACACAATAAAAGCTAAATCCAAATCAGACAAACAGCAACCTCAGCTGGAGCTGCAACAAGATATCGGGCCCTGGTCTTTTTCTCTTGATCAGTTCAGTTACAGCCAGTAACGTCTCAATTTGTTGTCCATTCAGTTTGGATTCTGGAAAATCTCTAGCTATTTCTCAAGCCTTTCCAGTTTCCAGGGATCAAGAATGTAGATCTTCAGAACCACATTTCGCAAACACCAAACTTGTATCCCTCTGAGCTTACTTTACATCTGTGGTCATACTGTTTTGTTTTTAAAGGTTACTTTACTGCAAGACATTTGCTTTAGGATTAAGTCCTCCATTGCTCCAGCCATCAAATTTGTTGAGGTGGAGATGGAAAAGCTATTATTTGTGTCTCCAATTCTTTAAGCACGTAAGTATAGGTCTGACATTGACCTCAAGAAAAAAGTGCAAAATCAGATGTTGATTTGTAAAGAATACACCGTCTAATAGAGGAATAAGTTGTAAAGACCACGTAATCATGCCATAGTCTATACTACAGACTACTTAGATCTTCACTCACTGATCACCTCAAAAAATCTATAGTTATGCTTGAATAAAAGTATATTTTCAAGGAAAAAAACAATTCATTTCCAAATTATTTCACAGAAAAATTGGTTATCTCAAGCTGGAAGAGACTCATAAGGATCATCAAGTTCAACCTCATACAGGACTACCTAAAACTAAATCATATAACTAAG